ACGCCCAAGGGGGCGTATTTTGAACATGATTTTCAGTGACTTTATTTGCAATGTTAAAGACCTAAAAAAATTGAAAAATATTATTTCTTACGTAAAATTCTATGCTATTTCAGAATCCATCATCAGAATTTGTGTAAAATGAAGTCTACAAAAGAACTATGGCGGTTTGTAAGTCAAAAAATGCAAAAACATCGAAAACAATTTTTTTTCGATATTTTTTTTCACATAGATATCTTATGAAACTCCAACTTTTTTCGCAACCATCGGTGCACAAAATAGTTGTACTTTAAGAATATATTTTCTAAATTTGTCAAAATTATCATTTCCATTTAAAAATGGTGGCAAAATCTCAAAAATTTACGAATTATCATATTTTTTCCACAACTATTCGTAAATTTCGGATAAGCAACGGCTTATTATTACTAAGAATAATGAGATTGACATTCGCAATTGATTTTCGATCAAATACACAACTTCCAATATGGCGGTTTCAATATGGTAGCCAATAAGGTGTGAAAATCGTCGATTTTTCTACATTTTTCCTAAATCTTTCTATGAACTTTCTTTCTCATAACTGTTTTACGCACGAACTATTAATATAATATATATTATCAGATATATACCAACTATTATTATGAATTAATTAATTGGTATATATCAATAGACATAAATTTGAGAAGTTATAAGGCAGTAAACTCAAAATAGTAGAAATTTTTGGCTATTAAAGTTCATTACTGCTATACATAACTAAATATTTTCCTAGATTCCTAATATGTGATTCAATCATTGAATGTTCGAATAAAAATAATAACCTCAATAAATTATTATATAAAAATACATATTTCTAATTTTATGAGTTATCGAAAAAAATTTATTTTTATCAAATGTCGCTAATCCCTTCATAATTTTTTGATACTTTCCTTCAAAGTTCATCATTTTTTGTACAATTTACAATGCATCATTCTCATTCATTTTTGTACGATTTACAATACATCATTCTCATTCATTTTTATCACCAATTGTTCGCAAGCCTAGTAATATCTCTACTGTAATTATATCTTCCAATAAATAAAAAATTATTTCGTGGTACCTGGATGATTCTAGTTGATTTACTAATTGAAATTCAAGTTGAAGGTTGTAAAACAAGCGATCAATATTTCCGCTTTGTTTTTCTTAAAATGTTGACAAATTTATAAAAATATTTATTGTTTATCTCTCTACTGATATATACCAATAAATTAATACATAATAATAGTTAATATATATCTGATAATATATATTATATTAATAGTTCGTGCGTAAAATACGTTATGAGAAAGAATTCATAGAGGGATTTAAGAAAAATATAGAAAAATCGATTTTCACACCTTATTGGCTGCCATATTGAAAATTGTGAAAATTTGATCGAAAATCAATTGCAAATATCAATCTCATTAATTTTAGTAATAATAAGTCGTTACTTATCCGAAATTTACGAATAGTTCTGGTAAAAACATGACGATTTGTAAATTTTTATGATTTTGCCATCATTTTTAAATAGAAATGATAATTTTGACAAATTTTAAAAATATATCCTTAAAGTACACCTATTTTGTGCACCGATGGTTGCGGAAGAAGTTGGAGTTTCATACTATATCGATGTAAAAAAAAAATATTGAAAAAAAATTGTTTTCGATGTTTTCGTATTTTTTGACTTAAAAACCGCCATAGTTTTTTTGTAGACTTCATTTTACACAAAGTCTGATGATGAATTCTGAAAGAACATAAAATTTTATGTAAGAAATGATATTTTTCAATATTTTTTAGACCTTCAACGTTGCAAATAAAGTCGCTGAAAGTTATGTTCAAAATATATCCGCTTAGGCGTTAATGGATTAATTAAGTCACTGAAGGTCAAGTAAGTAATATCATCATAAATTTTTCTTAAAACTATAACTTTTGTTTGAAATATTTTTCTATGTTTTCCTTAATCTCTAAAATATTTAAAGTAACAATAGTTGTTCACTTATCGTGTGTGTGTGCACGCGCACGCGTACGTGTGTGTACATGTATATATGTATGCATATACGCACGTGTATGTATATACGTATATATGTATATATCTATAAATATAAATATATATATATATAAACTTTTCCAAAAGTAACGGAATCCCCCCCCCCCCATCTCAGAATCTATGCATTATAGGGAAAAATGACCCGAACAAAAGTTTTAGGGTTCATAAAGTTCTGTTTTTTTGTAACATCAAATTTGACCTTGACCTCGACCTTGAAGGTCATTTGAAAATCAACTTGCGTTTTTTAAATGGGGACCCCATTTTTTATTACAGTGTTTTTTCTACCAATTAATTTGAACAACTTTTGTCTAAAACATTTTTTATTTGCCTAATATTTTTTTAGATATTTGAGGAAAACTTAATAACTTTTTCAATATTTAACTTATGATATCTCGCTAACTATTTGTCGGAAGAAAAAGTGGTACTAGACTTTCTTGCTTTATATAGTCTCAAGAATATATTGTTACAATAGTGCCCAGTTTTGTTTTGTTAATTTGATGATTTTGAAATTTCCAAAAGTCAATAAGTTAACATAAGTCGGGGCGCTATTGTAACAATATATTCTTGAGACTACATAAAGCAAGAAAGTTTAGTACCACTTTTTCTTCCGACAAATAGCGAGATATCGTAAGTTAAATATTAAAAAGTTATCAAGTTTTTCTCAAATATCTCAAAAAATATTAGGCAAATAAAAAAATGTTTTAGACAACAGTTGTTCAAATTGGTAGAAAAAATAGTGTAATAATAAATAGGGGTTTCCATTTAAAAAACGCAAGTTAATCTTCAAATGACCTTCAAGGTTGAGGTCAAGATTAAATTTGAGGTGACAAAAAAATAGAACTTTATGAATCCGAAAACTTTTGTTCGGGTCATTTTTCTCTGTAATATATAGTTCTGAGATAGAGATAGAGGTTCGTCACTTTTGAAAAACTTAGTATATATGATATATATATATATATATAGGGTGTCTTAAAACTTTGAGACATGGGCTTCATAGGGACATAGAGCTAAGTGAGAGGAACAAAAAAGTCCACTACCATAATGTGAAAATCGTAGTAGTTTTTTAGTAATAACCACGTTTGGCGTTTTCCACGCCCATCGCAGCCTATAGACATTCCGCGGTAAGCTGTGTGCGTAGGGGCTGAGCGATAACGCGTTTCGCGCTGACTGTCGCGATGGCATCTTGGCGCTTTAACGTCGCGCGACGGTCAGCGCGAGCCGCGTTATCGCTTAGCCCCTACGCACACAGCTTGCCGCGGACCGTTTATAGGCCGCGCTGAGCGTGGAAAACGTCAAACTTTGCACTGTTATAATTAAAAAACTATTATGATTTTCACATTATGGCACAGGACTTTTTTGTTTCTCTCACTTAGCTCTATATCCCTACGGAGCCCATGTGCCAAAGTTCTGAGACACCCTGTATATATATATATATATATATGATGTATATATGTATACTTTTCATAACGGTAATATATGAAAACAAGTTAAATTGTATATATGTATATGTGTGTATATGCATGCGCGCGCGTGCATATATATACATATCATATATAGGGTGTCCCATTTTAATGTCCCACTCCAAATACCTCTTCAGTATTGAAGTTTCAAGGAAAATGATCTGAATAAAAGTTGTAAGGATTTAAGTAAGCTACCTTATGATGACTTTGACCTCTATTTTCAAGGTCATTTGAAGGTCAACTTGCATTTTTTAAATGGGAATTCTTGTTTTTTATTACACTTATTGATTTTTGGAAATTTCTAAATCATCAAGTTAACAAAAATCAGGGCGCTATTGTAACAATACATTCTTGAGACTAAATAAAGCAAGAAAGTTTAATACCACTTTTTCTTCCGACAAATAATTAGCGAGATATCGTAAGTTACATATTGAAAAAGTCAAGTTTTCCTCCGATATCTAAAAAAATATTAGACAAACAAATGTTTTAGACAAATGTTATTCAAATTAACTAGTAGAAAAAACAATATAATAAAAAATAAGGGTTCCTGTTTAAAAAACGCAAGTTGACCTTCAAATGATCTTGAAAATAGAAGTTAAGATCAAAGTCAAGATCATCATAAGATAGCTCACTTAAATCCCTACAACTTTTATTCAGATCATTTTCCTTGAAATTCAATACTGAAGAGTTATTTCGGGTGGGATATTAAAATGGGATTACCTGTGTGTGTGTGTGTGTGTGTGTGTGCGCGTGTATATATATATATATATATAACATATATATATATATATTTACAATTACATATACAATATACATATATACAATTTAACTTGTTTTCATGTATTACCGTTATGAAAAAATGAAATTTATACATTTGCATTAATGCATACATATAAAGCTCTGCTAGATTAACTAAAATTGTATCCAAGCTTCTCCTAAAAACATTTCTATAGATTATTTTTAATATTAATAACATGATCTCAATTTAAAATGTATATTCTTGTGTATATTTGAATTTGAGACTCTCATGATATATAAATTGGCATTAAATGTGACTTCCTGGACAGATATGTGTATTTGACTGAGGATAAAGCAATGAATATCTCATTACTGGCAATTGATTATTTACACAATTAAGCCATAAATTTGCACATGTTATGTGATAATTATTATCATTATAAACAGCTCGGCCACTTGTAATAACTGTTAAACATAAGGAACAAGATATACATTCTCCCTGACGTAATGGCCAAACTGGTAACTCGGTTACAATCTAAAATACATAAAACAATTAATATATATGTGTATGTATGTATATATGTACACATACACACACACACACACACACACACACACACACACACACACACACACGCACGCACGCACGCACACACACACACACACACACACGCACGCACGTACGCACGCACGCACGCACGCACACACACACACACAAGTCCACAATGTAAACAAGCAATACTCACTGGTATATTTGCATAGAAAGGCTCCATTTCAGCCCAAATTCGATCAATGTCCATTAAAAGATCATCAAATCCAATAATGTTTATATCCAATTCTTTATATGAAAAATTGACTCGTCTACAAACAGCTGCAACTTCAGCTAAATCTAATAAAACATATTTCATATATATAATTTTGTATTTCAAATATTTCAAGAAATATATATATATTTTAAAATAATACAAAATAGATTTCTTATAACCACAAAGCGATTATAAAAAGCTCTTTTTATAATCAAAATGATCTTCATGTATATATTTTCTTCTTATTTTACAATAACAATAGTTTTTTTTATTACTTTCTGGAGATACCTACGGCAAAGAAAATCATACCCCTGTGCTGAATTTAAGACTTCGTGCAAGATTAATTCAGATGTAATATTAGTAAATATATTAGCTGCGACTTGTAATAGCAATATACAACTTTCCATATATTGTTTCCATTCCCAATATATATTCTGCAATCAAATAACTAATAATGTACAACATAAAGATGTCCCCTTCTATATAACTTTTTATATTTTAATTATATATATACCTGCTGTGGAGCTTCTACAACTTGATCTTCTTCTATATTTGAAGGTAAAAATGATTTAAGATCTAAGCTAGGCACAGATCCAGATCTTGGCAGTGCTTCAGTTGGACTACTAATTAATTCTACACTATTTATTGAAATAGCATCCTCTTTCTGAATATTTTTCCCTAAGAATAATATACTACATGGTTTAAATGAAATAAGATCCAAGCAGAAATAAGGTACAGCATAGCAAAATCACTAACCTGACTCTATCAATTGTCCTTCAATTCCATCATCAAGTTTCAGATTATCGAACAATTCAGATGCTTCAGATACAAAATTCAGATCTGCCAAGTGACTATTATCAATATTAATGTGAGCTTTACACTCAAAATTTGTGAATATATTACTAAAGCTTTCAGTATCCAAAATATCTGATATTGAAGAATTAGCAATTGGTTGTTCCGCAGACATAAATTCACCAAATTCATCAGCTGATTGATTATTAAGAATTAGATCTAATTTTGTATCATTTATAACAGATGTTTCCTGAACTAATGCACGCAATGCACTGTATTTGTCTTCAACAAGTTGCAAGCTCATTAAATCTTGTTGAACAGAATCAGATATATCTACCATGACAGCCTACAGATGATAATTAATGCGTCAACAGAAGTGATAATTTTATACTTATATAGACATAAAAACATACTTGCTGTACAATTTCCAAGTATAATGTTATTTACCTTTGATGTTAACTCCATTTTAGGTAATACTTCTTTATTGTTACTAAAATGTATGGTCTCTGTTATACTTGCCAAGTTATTAAAACTATTGTTATATTCTTTAGGCATTTCATTATTTCTTATTATAGTATCTTTGAGTATTACTGTTTTCGATTGATTCTTTACTGCACATTTAGGAAATAGATCTGTTACAGATTCTGTTGTAGACTGATCCTTATTTTGATACAGCATATTTGTAGATGTAGCTGTACGAATTTGTGCATTAACATGTACAAGTTTTGTTCCAACAGTACTTTTTTTCCCCTTATCAACTGATTTCTTTACTCCTAAATTGTGATTGGCAAGTCTGCTGCCAATTGCGGAACCTTGTTTACTATCCAAAATTGGTATTGTAGAGATACTAGGAATCGGTGCACTCTGAAATTCTGTAAATTCATCACAGGATTCATCAAAGGATGATGTAAGTAATGCATCAGTTTGAATATTTGATGATCGCTTAATATTTTTAAACATATTATGATTGTTTCCAGCTGTAGTGAACATTTGAATCTTAGTATCAAAACAAGATTTTCCTAGCAGATTGTTTGAGGATATATTTGCATCAGCCATTGCATTCCCATGAATTTTAACTTTAGTTTTTTCCTTAATATCAGAAGTACATTTTTCTTCTATACTTGTGTTATCAAACTGAACTTCCTCATTAGGAAAATATTGAAGTTTTGATGTATCCATTTGTGCAGTGGGTTGTAGATTGATCAAACATTCTATGTTCAAATATGGTGTTGGTGGAAAAGGAAGTAAATGCAATATATCAAGACTATTGAAAGTATAGGATGTTTGAGCAGCAGCCACAAGGGCTAACACTATGTATAACTCTTGCTCAGTAAGTTGTCCAGAGTACTTCTGGTTGGCCAAGCTCCATATGTGACCAAGAACATCCGTAGGCAGCTGGCTAGTAAGTAATAGCGGAAAAACCTTGTTAGTATCGACTAGTACCTCAGATTGCACATTATTCGATCTGACGTGATCTTCTCGCACAGCTTCCCAAACCATTTTATAAACTGGTGGTAAGGTAGTCGAGTTAGTCCATAGCCAACTCGGTAGTTGATTCAATCTCTTATTTGCGTGATTCTTATTCATATTTGTATGATAAAATTTTGCGACAGCGAGTAGTTTCCCTACTACAAAAGTTGCAAATCACGTGAACTCGTCAAGCAACACAGTTTCATCTTTTAAGCTACTAGCTCGATACATATATTAATGTTAACATAACGAGAAAATCGAACATCTGCTTAACGTCGATCACATCTTTAGAACACTTAGAACTTGCACAAATATTTTCTTCGTATAGTGATGTTCACTACAATATCTGTTTACATATACACAAAATTTTTTCACAATATCTCACATCATTTTTCTTTCTGCTTATGAATTTTTATCCAGTCATAAATATAACACCTTAACTTTTATTTTGTAACAACTGACAGATATGATCAGAAACGTTTGATGTTAATTTCGACAATTCTGGGACTACTAAATATTGTTAAGGGTTTATAGCAGCATAATATTAAAAGACAAAATGATCGTCTTCCGAAATACTTTGAAAGTATTGACAGTACTGTTTTCCTGTTTCACAATTGTTTTCAACATGGTGCAAAAGAGTTTTTTTTTCATTCATTCAATATATGGCTCTGAGCAGAGTTATTACATTCCTTCTCTTACGCTAATCACGATTTTGGAAATAAAAGAGAAACAGGGACAACGCGTACGCAGTCCCCAAGATAAAAAATATGCGTAGTTACAGGAACCACATCCAACCACTGCAGAGGCGAATAAAAGACTGGTGCAAAAGAGTACTAGTTACTTTTTAACGAAAGTTCCTAACGATACGGGCAAGAGTACAGGCTTTTGCATAACACATAATACATAACACATAAGAGAATAAACCAATTAGTTTTCTTCATTTCCCTCCTCAGGACAGAAATGAAGAACTCTGATTTGTTGATTCTTTTATGCGTTGTGTAGTATGTATTATTATGCAGAAGTCTATGCTCTGGCCCTACGGCTACATGGAATTCGAAATAGTGGAACGAAAAAGAAACAGGAAGGCAAATGGTAGAGGTTAACTAATCAGAGCAATTTTGTTCCATTGTTTATTGTAAAACAATGGAACAAAATTGTTCTAATTGGTTAACTTCCATTATTTGCCTTTACTATTTCTCTTCTATTCCGCTATTTTGAACTCCATGCAGCTGTGCCCTAAAGAACTATTAACTTCTGGGGCCCTATTCTTGAACTATTTGCGTATACGTAGAGACCCTATAATCAGAGTCGCGCAACGACCATAAAGGTTAGGTAAGCGCAGCCATGTTTCGTCAAACATATAGATATAGTCGTATAGCGGGACATTTAAGTTCCAAAATATTAGTGAAATAGCATATTTGCAAATGTTAATTTTTCATATAGTTTAAATGTTTTTTTTATTAATAACATGTCATATGTTACTATATTGACATACAATATTAACATAAAATTGTCACGCTGTTAACACAAAATATAAACAAAAAATGAAGAATTTGTTGCCCTAACAACGTACTCGAATTTTGCATAACAAAACGCTTCGTTCTGAATATAATAAAATATTATAAAAGGAAACATATTTGAAACAATATAAATACTAACATTAAATAAATAATAAACTTAAGTTTTTCTTATATCGTATGCATCGCCATTGTTTTACTATCGAAATGCTTCTTTGGTTCTTTTCGTTTTGTACACGCTATCTTACATCTAAATGTAGCATATTTATTATATATTTTCACCTGTAAATTGTGACAATTTGGTATAAAATTGCACTTTATGTAAGAAGTAAATAATTGTTCTGATTACATTTTTACATTATATGTCACAATAGATTTTATTTGTTTCTGGTACTGCCTAAATATATGCTCCATTTGTAGAAACATATCCAATGTCGCTTTATTAACGTGAAATAATGTGTTTGTTTTGTAACAACGTATTCGTACTAATTTATCATAATACAAAGTTTTGCCCTTAATATTACAAACTGAACGAATGCATTTCTTACATAACTGCGTATTTTTTTGTAGACTATGAATTATGTACCCAGCTATGTTATATAAAATGTTCATTTCGATATTATTCACGGTGGGAATTTCTGCTACACTGATATGTAATGACCTATCTATGTTATTATTACATGAAGGTGTTTCTTTCTTTGAAATAATAACATCTAAAAAACCACTTAAGTAATTTGTGTCATCTTCTTCGTAGTTGCTTTCTATAATATTACGTATATACAATGAAATACAAATAAGTTTTAAATTATTCTTAAATTGTAAAGCGTTAGGAACAGGATTCTTTGATCTTATAACTGAAAATAAATTCTCAACACAGTCTTGAGTAAAACGAGCAGTATAAACAAATTGAAATGCTCTCTCTTCTAACAAAAACTGAGTAAGCTCTATAATGGATGTTGTGGCAATTATTATGCCTCTTTGCACGGGCTTAAATTGACCTTTACTACCAACTGTTAAGTGTTTAAAAAGATATATACATTCATGTAAAAAAGAAACATTTTCATTGAGCTTATCTATATATAATTTTCCTAAAGCTACTGAACAGCGTCTTGCTGTCATTAATGTGAACCATGTGGCAATTATCTTCACAAACCAAGCTGTTGCTATATATTGAGGAGCATTATTTTCATCTGCCAAAAATTCTAGAGCACTGCTTACGTCTGTACTTAAAACATTTTTTGCTCTATTCACACGCATTTTTGAAAACTGATTATCACATTGTACATAAGATTTATGTAGTTTTGGCGTTAACAAAAACTCTAAGTCTTTTTGTTGCTCAAGTAATTCTACAAAGTGATCAAAATGCACTATATTTGTGGGCAATACTCATTTCGTCCATACTTAAAGAACATTCTTTATCTCTTTCATTTTCGAAATTCGGTATCTTAAGTTTTAGGAACTCAAATATTTCATCAGATATTCCGCTTGAAAATTTGAGACCTTGTAACCTATTTTGCAGTGTTCTAATACTTGGTAATGGTATATTTTGTTTTCTTAATTCTTCATAACCACGTTCACCACAAGCAAATTTGAGACGTAATGCTTTTATAATTGTTTCGTTATCCCAATGTCTTGATCTTATAGAGTCTGTTAGCAAAGCACGCAATTGATCATTTGTGAACATTCGTTTCAGTTTCATTTTGTATAAATTGGTGTTGTTTTCTTTTTTCAATTTTCTATTACGATCTTTCGATTGTTTTAGTTTCCTTTTTAAAGCTTCATTGCTTTCTAATAGTTTTGTAGAATATATACATCTTTTGCACTTTCCTGATAATATTTGTTTGTCCCTCATCGATTCCTGACTGTAACTTGTTGATGGTGAGTTGTGTGACTTCTGTGTAAAGAAAGTATATATACATACATGTACATATATAAAAAATAAATATAATATATAATATACACATAAGATTTCACTTATGTAAGAAATTATAAGAAACCATGCTCACTATTGTTTGTATGTTGGACGACTGATCTGAGTTACCTTCAGTAACGATAGTAGTATCATCAATGTTGCTTGTATTCAAATTAACTTCAGAATTCTCGATTATTTCAGGTTCAGGTTGTAATTGACAATTTTCATCAATGTCTAACTGTTTTTCAGTGAGGTTATCTTTATTATTATAGAAAAAAATACACTGCATGAAAAAGAAAAAGAGAATGTAATTTTAATAAATTGAATCGTTCTCTGTGCCTTTTATTATTTTCATCTTGTTTCGTCAAGGAAATACCAAAAATTGTTAGAACCGCGTCATGCTTTAACCTTCGACGACTATCAGGTATAGTCTTCATCCACATTGCTGGTTCAAAATGGATCTATGCGAAATAATTAATACATCTTTATACATAATATTTTGTTTTATTTAAAACAAAATTAAATAAAAGTGATATCAAAAACTAACTTCGCATAAATACGAATTATTTGTTGGGTTCGAATATTTTCGCCCCACATTTGCTGCCCATTGTGTTCTGCGTTTTTCGTCGCGAAGAAATACTTTCATTACATAACCTTTTGTAGCCGAATTATAACAATTTGGTGCACAACAACCTGGCATTTTGAATTGACACATACACATTTACACAGCCATAATCAGTAGCCACACGCAACTATTTTGGTATAGTTTGGTATAGTACTATAGCTATTAGTTTGACGAAACATGGCCGCACCAATCAAACGCTGGGACGTCGTTGCGCGACTCTGATTATAGGGTCTCTACGTATACGTAAGTGGCAAGTTTCGACTAATCGCAATGGAAAATCCCTAGAACCGTATTCTTGACAGTCGCAAGTGAAACGTATACGCAAATTATCATTCACAATGTAACGAATGGGTAATACCATCCGTTTCTCTCGAAACGTATGTGATACCAGAGAGAAGCCTGAGAGCGGGCATGGTTACATTTATAGCGTTATGGAAAAGTTGGCTGATTCGAAGCGCCAACTGGGTCCATTTTTCATGGACATAAACTAGCCAATAAGCCATAAGCACATAAGCCAATGTCCACGATTTGTCGGTACTATTCCGTGCTATGTCCATAATTATTTGGTTCTGTTCTGTACTATGTTCACGAGCGAGCTAGATTAGTTAGATAAAAACGAAGAATCGGTCTTTGTCTCACCACCAGCGAATAGACAATCGCGACGATAAACTGAAGCGAGCCAGCAGCGATGTTACCGTAAAGCAGACATCGCCGTCTCTCCTTTCACCCCCTTGTTTTCCTTTCCACATTGTTTTATATTCATAATTCGGAAAATAATTTCGAGATTTCGGACGATTTCTAGCAATGACGCGATAACGCGCGGCCACATTAATTTGTCATGACTTTTATATTACTTATAATTACATAAACGTCCATATATGCAAATTATAGATAATTATTGCGCGTATGTTTTAATATTGTACAATATGGTATATAATAACAACAACTTCATTTCTTGTAATTTTTTTAAGATCTGCGTTGAGGTCGTGAATTAATTTTTTTCTTCATCAATCAGTTTTCTGCAAAAATTACGATTTTTTAAATAAAATATAAAATGTTTCTCTTCTCTTCTCTCCGAAGAGTTAATTAAAAAATATGTACTCCATAGAGTCAACTAAAAAATGTGTAGTCAGAAGAGTCAATTTAAAAGTGTACTCCGAAAAGTCAATTTAATAGCGTATTCCGAAGAGTCAATTTGAAAGCGTACTCTGAAAAATCAAATTAATATTGTAATCCGAAAACTCAATTTATAATAGAATATTTACTTCGATAATTCAGCTAAAGAAAAAAATATTTATTTATTATTATATTCAGAGAATAATATTTAATTTATTATTTATACTTATCTTACTTATGCTTGCCCTACATATGTTTCTTTGAATGAGAAATTTAATTTGTTGACTGATTCAGATTCAGATTTGTTAAAATATCTCTTATACGCAACTCTTGAACAGGTAGGTAGTAAAATAATTTTCTTTCTTTACGAATTTTATAAACTTTTTACGAACATAAAAATTGAAAGATTCTCAGAGAACAAATAACTTTTCTTGAACATTTAAACCAAAGGAAAATCTTTTCCCATTAATAAAGAATGAATAATTAATATCTCATACAAGAGGAATCTTCATCCTTGAAATCACCGCGCGATTTTGCTTTTAGAAAAGTATAATATTGATGTAATAGTAACAAATGCTATCCAAAAACGGTGCAAATCTTAAACGTTTTTGAGAAATGCAGTTTGAAGTTTAGTCTTTTCTGTTAATGTCGTTATAGCAGAAGAATTACCAATTTGCTTCAGTAGCGCAGTGGATCAGGCTTTGTGATATGAGCGTAGAGGTTGTTCAAGTGTGTTATTTTTGCTATCACAGGGAAAACTATGTAGAATGTATAATAATACGCAGACAAATTCTTTACATAATCATACTTATTTCTTTTAGCATGAATAAAAATGATCAATGCTAACGTGATAAGTGTATATCGCAATTGTACGTGTATGCAATTGTACACATACACACACATATATACACACGTATACCAATGATGTCAAAACCGAATAATTCGTGAAAATTTTTTATTGATCGCAATTGTACGCAAAGACGAAAGAGAAGTACACAGGTCTCCGCGGTTATCTCGTCATTAATTGTCTATGAGCTGATAAACAGTTGATCTCCGATATTTATAAGTTACACTTGCCCGCAGCTTGTTCGGTTTTGACATCATTGGTATCAGTGATGCGAATTTGGTGACGCGCTTGCACGAGGATTCTTCCCCTCCTCCCCCCCCCATGCACGCACATAGCCAGCTCGGTCAATCCGTGTGAGCCACGCTATTGTCGACGCGCCGAGCGAGCGAGCGAGCGAGAGAGAGAGAGAGAGAGAGAGAGAGAGAGAGAGAGAGAGAGAGAATATCATTCCCTCCTTGTCGCTCTCGTTCTCGCTCAACGAGCGAGTCTAAAGCCAGCGGCACACGGTGCTTGTTTTCGTGCTGGATTGCTTGCTGGATGAAAATACTGCGTTCTGATTGGTGCATTTTCATCCATCTTCGAAAATATACCAATCACAATGCAGTATTTTCATCTAGCAAGCAATCCAACACGAAAACAAGCACCGTGTGCCGCTGGCTTAATTCTTTCTTGCCCATAATCTGAATCGCGAGCGCGACTGTCTCTCTCTCTCTCTCTCTCTCCTTTCCTCTCTATGACAATATTGAAAGTTTTGTCTACTCGGCGCACCAAAATTATTACAAATAATATTTTATTACTAATAATATTATTATTTGTAATATATATTATTTATAATATTATTATTTGTAATTTTATTTGTAATTGTATAATAATGTTACAAATAATACAAACTTTTACAAATTTTATTATTTGTAAAAATTTATATCATTTGTAATATTATTTGTAATAGTATTAATTTGTAATAGTATTAATAATATTCGGCGCCAAGAAAATGAAATATATTTTATTAATTATTTTGCGGAGTTGGGCAGGTTCACAGGTTTGATTATTGGATTGTTTAATAATATTTTAAGAATAATTTTAAGTTATACAAGGATGTAGTATGAAATATAAAAGAATATTGTAACAGAATCAAGAAGTACGAAATGAAACCTCTTTGTTTTTATTACAATATCCTGTAAGTTAATAAATATTTTTCATACAGTATTAAATAATCTCCAAAAACAATTACATCCGTGAAATTTTCTATCTGCGCGAAAAAAAATTCATAAAATATATTTATTTCGTCGCTCTAAATGAGAAAACTCTCAGAACAATGTCATAGTTGTTCAGTGCACTACTCAATAAAAATATAATAATACTATGTTTGTGTGTGTGAAGAATATTTGTTAACTTACAGGATATTGTAATAAAAGCAAGGAGGTTTTATTTCGTACTTCTAAGACCAAGACTTGTTAACGGCTAAAGACATAGGCCCATATTCAGAACGTGCTTATAACTATGTTAGCGCGCTGTTAACCAATGAAACCAATGAAAAGCCACGCAATATGCCTTCTGATTGGTTAACAGCGCACTAACATAGTTATAAGCACGTTCTGAATATGGGTCATATTCGAATCGATCTTGCCTTAATTGGTCGGATCAGTGATCGATCTTGCCTTAACTTCCAAGCCTCATAACTCGGAAAGTACTCAATGAAATAAAACTTTGTTAGAGTGTTTTGGAAAGCTCTCGAGATAAGCTACAAGAATATGTAATAAAAAATTGTAGTTTCTATTTAAAAAAATATTAATGACCTTGGCCTAATTTTGACAAGGTCACTCAAGGTCAAGTCCACATTTTCATCATGTGTCATCCTTCAAGCTATGTAACTTTCGTTCGAAAAATTTTTTAATAAAATAACATAAATTTTTACAAATAAAATTTATCATTATTTATTAGAACACTGAGTTATATGGTTATTTTACTTGTTATTGTAACAAATTAATTATTATAACAATGCAATGAAAAATATTTAATACAAAAAATCTTGGGGCGGCTGCACCAAAAACTATATCGAACTAAAACTTGATTAATACATACATGACAGCATTTTTATTATAATAAAATGTTCTTGTAAATTCTCTTTATACATATACGGTATAATGTTTTATTTAAGTTTATATAGTATTGTAATAAATAAAATATAAACCTTCACTATAGAATATATTATAATAAAAATACTGTCATATATGTATTAAACAAGTTTTAGTTCGATATAGTTTCTGGTGCAGCCGCGCCAAGATATTTTGTATTAAATATTTTTTATTGCATTATTATAATAATTAGTTTGTTACAATAACAGTAAAATAACCATATAACTCAGTGTTCTAATAAATAATGATCAATTTTACTTGTAAAAATTTATGATATGGACATTTTTTGTAGCTAAGTTTTCTTGAATATTTTGAATAACATAACCTTTAAAAAGATATTTTCTTTTAAATATTGGACACTATTAACAAACGTGTTAAATTTTTATAACACGATATAATTTTTACATTTAAAAGTTTATGTACATATATATCTTACCAAAAAATAATTTGATAAGTTTAACTTATAAAAACTTATGTTATGTACATAACATTAAAAAGATATTTTTTTTAATATTGGACACTATTAATAAACGTGTTAAATTTTTATAACAC